GCTCTTTATATAGGAAAGAAAAAAAGATGATTAAAAAAAAAAAAAGGTAATTATTGGACGTCGTTAGTCAATATTTTAAACTCTGAAGTCGCCATTGATTAAGGAGAAAATAGTTTAGGTTTGATTGGCATGCACGTTAGTTTTATTTTACTTTTTTTTTTTCTTTGGTACGATCCTAACGGTTTGGTAATTTAGCACAATTGGATCAATAAGTCTAATAGGAATATTTTCTATGGATTTGGAGTTTTTATTACTATCATAATCGTGTGAATAAAGAACTTAGTTTTGAGGTAATTGAATTGATAAGGCCTCAATTACAAAACAAAATGTAAATATAGTTGGGAGATGTAAATTACAGAAACCAGTTGGGGAGATCTGAAGCAATTTTTTTTACCAGAAACATATGAAATAAGAAAACCACCAAAAACATTAACATTTAACAGAAAAAATCTGAGAAAAGGACAAAATTATGTAGTCGCGTCATATTAAGAAATTCAATGTGAATAAAATGAAAAGAATCATACAAATTATATCACACGCAAGTCTCTCGACACTTTGAAACTCATTAGCACATGTCTCTCCTCTCATTTGCACAAGAGAAAAATAAATCCAACACAAAAATCACTGAATTAACTACTTAAAATGGACTCTCGTTTGCAGTGTTGTGACACTTAATTTTTGTTGCAGCATCGTGCACTTGGGTTTTGATCCTAGACCAGGCGATGTGATGCGGCATTGCAACACTTCTAATCTTGGCGCTAGGGCACAACAAGTACGGCGCCGTGGGCCCGTGACACTATGTATGGAGAAAATTTTCAGAGGTCGCGTCACACCAAAAAATTCACTATAAAAAAAATGAGAAAAATCGTACACATTAAATCACACTCAAGCCTCTCCACTCTTTGAAACCTTCTAGGACACACCTCCCATTTCCTTTGCTCAAGAGAATAAGAAATCCAACACCAAATCGCCAAAATAATTGCTTAAAATGAACTCCCGCTTCACAGCGCTATGATACTATAACATGGCGTTGCAACATCGTGCATTCAGGTTCTGAAATAGAACTGAAGCTCGTATTAGATTCATTCGTTAAGCAAGTGTCACGAACACAATGAGTATTTTTTAGCTTGATTTAGAAACGAGTCGATTAAAAGTAAATTTTCATTCGATTATGTTAGACTCTTTTTCCCCCAAATTAATTAAAATTTTCAATAAATATTATTTTTATTATATTTATATTAATTTGTTACCGGAGTACCTGATCAAACTCCCTCTTTTATGATGGTATTGGATAACTCAAATAATTCAATAGAAAATTTCAAAACAACATTTAATCATTTATCACATTGAGTTTACATATATTTATTCAAAGGGTATCAGTGATACTCTCTAAGTTTTATATTCATCACGAAGAATAAATTCGTATGATCTTCTAAAATTTTAATAATATTATGTATGTATGTATGTATGTATGTATGTATGTATGTATGTATGTATGTATGTATGTATGTATGTATGTATGTATGTATATATATATATTATATTACAGTTATGAGAAGATTAATATTTAAACCTTAAATACATGCGTTACTAACTCAAGGGTTGGAAGCCAGCTTGACCTGACCACATTGACCAGGACTGAACAATAATTCTATTCTGATATACTATTCCTAGTCAAGTTAGATTGGCCTGACCAATACCTTATTCTTTGTTAAAATACAGTTATGGACTTGTAGTCTTCAAGAAATTCTCTCAACCAGACCAAATTTATGAGATATATTTGAGAGAATATTATGCACAATCAATTGGTACGTCTGGATTGAGGGTGTATGCTCCAGTACACTCTGAGTACACTTCGAGTACATCTATATGCACGTTGGAATCATCCACACATGACATTTTTTCTATATTTTTGATGGTTATATTGAATTTAATATTTATTTTTAATAATTTCAATGAAGCATCTTCTTTGCATAATTACCAACTAATTAGAGTAAATGATGTAGAACTCCTGCCTTAAAGTTGGTCTAGTTTCTCTTATTATTATTATTATTATTATCCAGTAAATAATTTCTGCAGTTTATTTAGTCAAATACGCTTGTCAATAAAGTAATATTCAAATATATCAGTGAAGCAGCAATACATATTTTACTATTATTTTAAACACTTTTTCCATGAGAATAAACTATACGTACCCACATTGTTTTCAGCTCAATAAGTCTGAGATAACCTGTCCAGCAGAAATTTGAAGAAACTGTTAGGCCATTAATTAAGTGGATAAACGGCAAATTAATGACACCGCTAATCACGTCAACTGATCAGAGAGACCAAACCTTAACAAAGTGCCGCGTATAGGAGTTTGGTAAAGGTCAATTTGTTGCTTTCAGTGACTTGCTTTCTTCCCGTTCTCCACGCCAAAAACTAAGGGCCAAATACTGTCTTAGTCTACAACGAAGACTTCTGGAATTTTGGGGACTTCTGGAATTTTGGGGGAGGCTTCGCCCCCACTGAAGTTAGAGTTGGTGCTCAATTAATCAAATATATTGTTATTTGATTTTTTTTTTTCTTCTTCTTCTCTTTTTAAGAGTTTCACAAGTAACTTTTCATGACTAATGTTGGATTTTGAATAGTTTGTGAGTTCACGCTGTCACATAGTTTGTGTATTGTTATTTGATTTTTTTTCCTTTTTCTTCTTCTCTTTTTAAAAGTTTCACAAGTAACTTTTGATGACTAAGGATCAAATACTGTCTTTTAATGTGATTTTGTCAATGTTTGTTAGTTAACTTTTAGTCTACAACGAAGACTTTTGGAAGTTTGGGGGAGGCTTTGCCCCACTGAAGTTAGGGTTGTTGCTCAATTAACCAAATGTATTGTTATTTGATTTTTTTTTTCTTCTCTTTTTAAGAGTTTACAAGTAATTTTTTATGACTAATGTTGGATTTTGAATAGTTTGTAAGTTCGCGCTATCAAAATGAGCAATTGAGAAAAAAAAAAAGAATATTTATAGAATCAAGTAAAAAAAGTATAATGAGAAGTTCATTCAAAGAATGTGATATAGTAAGATTTGATATCCAAGCTTTTATGTTTTCCCTAACTCTTAACTATAACTTAGAACAAAGATAGATAAATAAATAAAAAAAACATAAAAATAGGTAGCAATGTCACGCTTTATAGGGGTTATAAAATATTAAGTTGCTTAGTAGTAGGGTTGGTGGGTTGGTGAATTAGTTGGTGGGTTGGTGAATTAGTTATTGACTATCTTCGTGCTAACGAGCTGGGGAATAGAAGAGATATTATGCCCTATGATTAAGTGGTGAATTTGCTATCATATATCATAGGTTAACCACGAGTGGTCAAGTTAATCATCATGATTGTAAGAATTGGCATAGAGATGGATCCAATTTAGATTCGAGGATGAGTCATTTACCAACAAATCTTTATCATTCAACACGAATCTCTAGCAAATTTACAATCAAATTGACCGGTTTGACAAGAAAAACCCAATTTCACCATAATTAGTCCAATCCGAGTCAAATCAAGCTTAGATCAAGCCATTAAATCACTCTTGGAAGTTTTTCAGACATATTTAGAAGGTTAAACGGACACCAAATGTGGTGGGCCTATAGTCAAATCGAGTATCTCAATAAGATGAATCCACGAGTCCAAGATTGCTAAATTTTGACATCTTAAAGACACTCAAATATCCATTAAATGTTGTCTGATTGAAGGAAGTTTTTCAGACTATTCGACTAAAGTAGTTCATATTCCTATATTACTTCCATCCAGAGCATTATAAATAGAACCCCACCCATCTCATGATGGAGAGGGGGACTTGAGAAAACACTTAAAGCTTTGAGAAGGATATGAAGTCCAACACCATCCCTGTCACCTTCATCGCCGTAGACCGTCATTGACTACCGCCAACTGTCGTCGACCACCTTCGACTGCTGTCGATTGTCGTCAACCATTGTTGATTGTCATCGACAACCACCGACCACCTTCAAGAACCACTGTCGTCGACGATCACCGTCAATCAGCGTCGACCACTACTGACTGGAAGTCACCATTCGATGTTGTAACTTGAAAATCCTAGTAACTCTTTCTGGTCTGTGGGATAAAGAGTTTCTATAATATTCAACTTATAGTAAATTTTTACATTTAGGCCATACCCTATGATTTTTTCTATTTACAGATTTTCCACGTAAAAAACTTCTAATGTCATTACTGATTGTTTTCTTTTACTTGAGTGTGTTGAATTCTCATGCAATGCTAAGACGAAATTTATTACTCTATTGTCTCAAATTTTCTAGCTTGCATCACTTGTGTGTACGTGCGCCTGGACTAAGCTGCAGAGTATTTGATCATACAATTAGCTAAAAATTCACATATTTTGATAAGTTATTAAGTTGCGTAATAAAAATTAATATCATTGTATATGAAGAAACAATCACTCAAGACAAGAGGGAATAGATATATTCCAAAAATGTCCGGAGTGAAGCATATATCAGTAGCACGGCCAATCAATTAACTCTGCCTCAGTTTAGAATAAATCTGACTTCCCCTCTTCTGCAAGGCGTATGTATTTTAACCATTCTGTCTCGAGTTTCAACAATGTGATTGGCCACATCAATGAGAATAAAATGTTAATCTAGCCAATTTGAGCATTTTTCTTTATGCTGCCATTTTTATAATATTCTTGAAGGGCGGTCATTTTCAATTCTACAAATAAAGGAGACGGGGTAGGAAGCTTTGATTGAATTCAATCTAAGCTTTGATTGAATTCAATCTATTCCATCTCAGTCTATCACGATTATCTCTCTTCGCTTCGAAAAATTATTCTATACGGATGGATGGCGTATGCAAAAATGCATGTGTTATCTGATCTCCACCATTGATCAGAGCAAAGTTGTATTTCGGTGGACCCAATTTAAAAAAAAAATTGATGACTGATAAAAAATGAAGATCGGACGACGCATGCATCCTATGAGTTAATTTTCCTTTCGCTTCTCTCTATCTTCTGAGTTTCACTAGTTCTTTTCGAATTTACAAACTTCTTATATTTGCTAAAAAAATAAAGAATATTCAACTATGTTTGGTGAAT